AAAAGAATACTTGTAAAGCCCGGAGGGGCTTGTCAAAGAATGCTCACTGCTAGCCAGAAGTGGCTGATAAGAAAATACTAGCGTTGGTGAGTGAAGCCAACGGGCCAGGAGTGGTCGAGAATACTTGGAGAACCAGAAGTGGTTTAAGAATACTAGAGCTGGTGAGTGAAGCTGGTGGGCCAGAAGTGGTCGAGAATACTTGAACCAGAAGTGTGTAAGAATACTAGCGCTGGTGAGTGAAGCTGGCAGGCCAGGAGTGGTCGAGAATACTTGGGCCAGGAGTGGTCGAGAATACTTGGACCAGGAGTGGTTCTAACCTGGGTGGTTCATAATAGTCACTACTAGCCTAAAGAGGTGATAAATCATAATTTTCGTGCATTTTCTTACCTTTGTAATCTCCTATTAAATATTGTTAGTGCCTAATTGTTTTCTCTTGCCATATTTTTATTGTTTTGAGGTTTATTGGGCTATTAATCTGAAACTTCATTTAATTGGATTTATTAGCCTAATTAATTTCATAATCATTTTTTGCAGAGAACTTGGAAGCACTTATTGGACTAGGAGCACTGCCACATGGACCTGCCACGTGGACCAACTTCAACATAGTTTTTATTTTAGTTTTCTATTTCATTTTTTGGTGTGTAATGGGCCAACTGGGTCAGCCCAATAGTTGGACTCGAATTCAAAAATTCGTAAGGAACCTAGGTCAATTTATTTAGGTCAGCCTAGGGGGACAAATGGGACACAGTCACCACTCCCTTTTTGGCTCCTGGACGAGTTTTGAAGGAAGCCATTTTTGGAGACTCACTTTTCTGTAGTTTGTTCCCTTTTGCATTTCATTTTCTTCCTCTTCTTCCATTTCTCATTTCGTTTTGTTCTTGTTGTCTTCCTCCATGGAAGGCTAAACTGTAATATTTTCTAACTCAGTTTAATGCTCATTGAGGTCTATTTGTTTCATTGCATTTTCGTGTTCTAAACCTTGTTTTCTCCATGCTTAATGGTATTCATTCAACTGGACCAAATGCTTTGCTCATGGTTTGCTTAATCCCATGAAATAGAGGAATGAATGTATGCTAATGCTTTATTTGTGTACGTTCAAATAATGGTAACGACGTTTTGTGATTACTAGAACTGAACCAAGGTTTAAAACGATAGAAGATGACATTTCGAACCAATGATTTGTGTGTTATAACTGAGTTGGAGAATACATTGTTTCATTGATTACTGTTCACGTGTTTATTTATTTGAATCTGAATTCCCCCCATAGTGTGTGTATTTGTGTTTGCATCATAAGAACCTTGGATTGGCTTGTTGCTCCTTGAGAGACGACCTAGGAGTCGTTTCCTAGTACTACAAATTTCATAAAATTTGATCGGGTACGACACCGATCAAATTTGGCGTCGTTGTCGGGGAGCAATGCTCTAGCCAAAGGTTCATAATATAGTGTGTGTTGTGTTATGTTCGTGTTTGTGGTTATGTATGTTAGTGTGTCTCTGTTCGTGTGTTAATTGTGAAGTGTAGTGAGTTAGTAGGGTAACTCTATTTTTGGTGCATTTTGGTGCATGTTGGTGCGTTTCTGGTGCATGTTTGGTGCATTTTGGCTCTATTTTTGGTGCGTTTTTGCTCTGTTTTGGTGCGTGTGTGCTCTGTTTTCATTTATTGTGTGTGGGAATACTCTATTTTCTCTGTCTACTACTCCTCTGTTTGGGATATGAAAATTGGGTCCAAGTTGTTGAAATGTTGCAATTTCATGTGCGTGTGAATAGTGATGAAAAGTACCCAATTTTTCCAATTAATTGGGATTTTTGGTTTTGATAGCTGGACTTGTTATTTTTGGCTCAAATTTTGTGTGGTAACTTCTTTCAACCCATATTTTGTGTGAAAAATACCAGAGGCCCTCAAGGTTGTCCATATTTGAAGATACAAAAATTTTTCAAACTAGTTTTCAGCAAAATTTCAAACGACCATAACTTTTGCTTTGGTTATCAGAATTAGACATTCTTTATATGCATTTTGAGTAGAAAAATGAGATCTATCAAACCCAGACAGTACGCCATTTGGACCAGCTAGATTTTCAAAAAAAGGTCGTTTACTATTTTTTTTTTCTAATTTTGAAGTTTTATTTCCCTATTTTTTCCAAACTTTTCATAGGTGGTTCATATAGTTAGACTTTGAATTTTTCTTTGAAATTTTTGTGGTAGTTTCTAATGTTTTTAGGATGATATTGGTGCATTATTTGTGATGGTTCCAAGTTTGCATTAAAAATTCCCATTTTACCCCTACTATTCACGTGGTAGTTGCATGTGATTGCATGTAGTGCATGACTAGGAATAATCTAGGCATTTTGTTTCCATTTGGTCCTAAAATAGATAGGACCTTCCTTAGATTAGTTAGAGAACATATAGTCCCACTTTCTGAGAGTAATAGCCATAGTGTAAGTGTAGCATCTGAAGTTGACTCAACTGAAAATATGGGTGACCAACCTGCACCTCGAGAAAGAACACTTAGGGAGATGGCTGCACCTAATTTCACATATGAGAGTTTATGCATTCAATACCCTGAGGAAGATGTGCCTTTTGTGCTTAAAACTGGACTAATCCATTTGTTGCCTAAGTTTCATGGTCGTGCAGGTGAGGATCCACACAAGCATCTCAAGGAGTTCCATATAGTTTGTTCCACCATGAGACCACATAATGTCCCTGAAGATCACATCTACCTAAAGACATTCCCTTTTTCATTGGAGGATCTTGCCAAGGACTGGTTGTACTATCTGGCTCTTGGTTCAATAACAAGCTGAGATGACTTAAAGAGAGTGTTCCTTGAAAAATTCTTCCCTGCATCCAAGACCACTGCAATCCGAAAAGATATATCTGGAATTAGGCAACTCATGGGGGAGAGCTTATACGAGTACTGGGAGAGATTCAAGAGGCTGTGTGCTAGCTACCCTCACCATTAAATTTCTGAGCAATTATTGTTGCAGTATTTCTATGAAGGGTTGAACATAATGGACAGGAGCATGATTGATGCAGCCAGTGGAGGAGCCTTAGGAGATATGACACTTGCTTCTACTAGAGGACTGATTGAGAAAATGGCATCCAACTCGCAGCAATTCAATAAGAGGAGTGATGCTATCATTGTAAGAGGTGTCCATGATGTGGGAGCCTCAGATTCAACAGAACATAAGAAGCTGGAGAGTAAGATTGATGCTCTCACCACCTTGGTTTCACAACTTGCTGCAAATCAAAAGTCTGTTGCACCAACAAAAGTATGTGGCATCTTCACTTCAATTAATCATCCAACAGATGCTTGTCCCTCCTTGCAAGACTCTTCTGCATGCCCTGATGCCCCACAAGCATATGCTGCCAACATTTACAATAATAGACCTCCACACCAGCAATAACAAAATTATGATTTGTCATCCAACAGATACAATCTTGGTTGGAGGAATCATCCCAACTTGAGGTGGGGAAACTCTCAACAGCAAAACCAAGAAACTCAAGCTCCCTTCCAGAACCATCCTTCAAGCTCTTCATACCAGCCCCCTCAACAAAAAGCTCCTCCTGCACCTGCACCTTCACCTTCACCCTCATTGGAGGATATGGTGAAACAAATGGCCGAATTGAACCTCCAATATCAGCAGAAGAATGATGCATCCATCCAAAATTTGACCAACCAGATTGGTTAGTTGGCCATTGTAGTGAATCAGTTGCAAGCACAAAACTCAGACAAGCTCCCTGAACAAACTGTCATCAATCCAAAAAATGTCAGTGTCATCACCTTAAGGTGAGGCAAAATAATAGATGTGCCTGCGCAACAAATTGTAGATCAACCTGGCACTGAAATTGAAAAAGACAAGGGTGTTATGCATGCGGAAGACAAACAGATTCAACCTAAACTTTCAACAAACCAGAAACAATCTTCAATCCCCCTCCCATTCCCCCCACGAGCAGTTCAAAGCAAGAAGACGGAGGAGATAGACAAAGAGATTATAGACATCTTTAGAAAGGTTGAAGTGAACATACCTATCCTGGATGCAATCAAGCAGATTCTGAGGTAGGCCAAGTTCCTTAAGGAGTTGTGCACGCACAAGAGAAAACTCAAAGGTAATGAGAGAATTAGTATGGGCAGAAATGTGTCTACACTCATAGGTAAACCTATTCCTCATATCCCTGAAAAATGTAAGGATCCTGGTACATTCACTATACCTTGTATCATAGGTGACAAAAAATTTGATAATGCATTGCTAGACTTACGAGCATCCATAAATGTCATGCCTATGTCTATTTTTAATTCTTTGTCCCTTGGGCCCTTAAAACCCACAAGTGTGGTAATTCAATTGGCAAATAGAAGTACTGCTCACCCTGCTGGTGTTATTGAGGATGTCTTGGTCCGGGTTGATAAACTAATTTTTCCTGCATATTTTTATGTACTTCATATGGAAGAAGGGTACTCCCATGGTGTAGTACCCATTATTTTGGGCATGCCATTTTTAAACACAGCTCGGACCAAGATAGATGTCCATACGGGTACACTCTCAATGGAATTTGATGATAGTGTGGTCAGGTTCAACATTCATGATGCAATGAGGCATACATCTGAAGAGCATTCAGTTTTTCATGTTGATTTATTTGATGAATTAATTAATGAATATGTGCTTCAATTCTTTCAAAATGTTGATTCCTCACCCCTTGCATGTGTTGATTCTAAGTTGTGTAGTTCCCATATTGATGTTGATATTGATGTTGGTATGAATATAAATGAATCTGACTCAGTTGTTGAGATGCAACATGCAGCTTCACTATCCATTACTCTTGTTCCTTCCATTGTGCAGCCACCTATCTTGGAGTTGAAACCTTTACCTGAAAACCTCAAATATGCATATTTGGAGGATAATAACAAGCTCCCTGTCATTGTGTCCACATCCCTAAATGCTTATTAAGAGGAGAAGTTGCTGCATGTGCTGAAAAAGCATAAGAGAGCCATAGGATGGACGTTGGCTGACATTCCTGGTATTAGCCCATCCACATACATGCACAGGATTCTTTTAGAGGATGGAGCCAAACCAGTGAGGCAACCACAGATGAGGCTCAACCCGGTGATTCTAGATGTGGTCAAAAAGGAAGTCACCAAGCTTCTACAAGCCGGGATCATATACCCCATTTCTGACAGTCATTGGGTGAGCCCCGTCCAAGTAGTTCCCAAGAAGACTGGAAATACTATGGTAAACAATGATAGAGACGAGTTGATTCCAACAAGAGTGCAGAACAGTTGGAGGGTCTGCATTGATTATAGAAGATTGAATCAAGCAACACGCAAGGATCACTTCCCTCTACCCTTCATGGACCAAATGCTTTAGCGTCTGGTCGGTAAATCCCACTACTGTTTCCTCGATGGATTTTCTGGCTATTTCGAGGTTCACATTGCTCCTGAGGATCAAGAAAAGACCAGATTCACCTGCCCCTTTGGCACCTTTGCATATAGGAGGATGCCCTTTGGCCTATGCAATGCCCTTGGTACATTCCAGCGGTGTTCGATGATCATTTTTAGTGATTTTCTAGAGAATTGTATGGAGGTGTTTATGGATGATTTCACTGTTTATGGATCCTCATTTGATGCATGTTTGGATAGTCTGGATAGGGGTTTTCATAGATGCATTTAGACTGATCTTGTTTTGAATTATGAAAAATGTCATTTTATGGTGCAACAAGGGATAGCCTTAGGTCATGTGATCTCTAGTCAGGGCATACAAGTAGATCCTGCCAAGATAGAAGTTATTTCACATCTGCCTTACCCCTCTTGTGTTCGAGAGGTTCGTTCTTTTCTTGGCCATGCAGGTTTTTACAGGAGATTCATCCATGACTTCAGTGAGAAGGCCCTCCCACTGTCCAACTTGTTATAGAAAGATGTGGCGTTCCACATTGATGATAGGTGCAAGGAGGCTTTTGATTGCCTCAAGACTGCTTTGACCATCACCCCCATCATCCACGCCCTTGACTGGACGATCCCCTTTGAGTTGATGTGTGACGCGTCTAATTATGCATTGGGGGATGTCCTCGCACAAAAACTTGGTAAATTACCAGAGTCATTTATTATGCTTCTAGGACTTTAGATGCTGCACAAGTTAATTATACCACCACTAAAAAAGAACTCTTAACCATTGTGTTTGCTCTTGATAAGTTTAGATCATATTTCCTTGGTTCTAGAGTTATTGTTTATACTGACCATGCAGCTTTAAAGTACCTGTTAAAGAAGACTGACCCCAAGCCACGGTTGATTAAATGGATGCTTCTACTCTAGGAGTTTGATTTGGAGATTCATGATAAGAGTGGAGCACAAAATTTGGAGGCAGATAATCTAAGCAGAATAGAGTAAGCTGTTGACACCTTTCCTATCCGAGATGATTTTCCTGATGAGCAGCTCTTGAATATCTTTGTCTCTCACTCTACCCCTTGGTTTGCTAATATTGTTAATTACTTGGTTGCTTCTATTTTTCCACCATTAGCATCGAGATCTCAGATTGATAAACTTAAAAGTGATGCTAAATATTATGTTTGGGATGATCCATTTTTGTGGAAATTGTGTAGTGATCAGGTGATTAGGAGGTGCATTCCAGATCATGAGATTCAATCAGTCCTCAATTTTTGCCATGCTTCAGTAGTGGGTGGCCATCTTGGCTCCTAAAGAACAACAAGGAAGGTGCTTGACTCTGGATTTTACTGGCCCACCATCTTCAAAGATGCGTGGAGGATTTGTAGCACATGTGAGCAGTGCCAAAGAGTAGGAGGTGCCATTACTTGGAGACAGCAAATGCCTCAGCAACCTATGTTGTTCTGTGAGGTTTTTAATGTCTGGGGTATTGATTTCATGGGCCCTTTCCCTGTTTCTTTTGGTTTCTCTTATATATTACTTGCTGTTGATTATGTTTCCAAGTGGGTGGAGGCTAAGGCCACCAGGACTAATGATGCTCAGATTGTTGTAGATTTTGTTAGATCTCATTTTTTTGCAGGTTTGGCATACCCAGAGCTATTGTTAGTGACCAGGGAACCTATTTTTGCAATAGATCTATGCAAGCTATGCTCCAAAAGTATGGGGTTGTCCACAGAGTTTCTACTCCTTATCACCCCTAGACTAATGGGCAAGCTAAGGTTTCAAATAGAGAGATTAAGAGGATCTTGGAGAAGATGGTGCAACCTAACAGGAAGGATTGGAGCCGTAGACTTGAGGATGCGCTTTGGGCGTAGAGGAAAACATACAAGGCACCTATAGGTATGTCTCCCTATCGGGTTATTTTTGGCAAGGCATGTCACCTACCAGTTGAGATAGAGCACCATGCATATTAAGCTGTGAAGACTTGTAACTTAGCTCTTAATAAAGCTGGAGAGGAAAGGAAACTCCAACTGAATGAGCTTGATGAAATCCGCTTAGAGGCCTATGAGAACTCTAAGTCCTACAAAGAAAAGACCAAGAGATTCCATGACAGCTTGATAGCTAGGAAGGAGTTTCTTGTTGGGCAGAAAGTGCTACTATTTAACTCTAGACTTAAGCTCATGGCTGGTAAACTCCGTTCTAAGTGGATTGGTCCCATTTTGGTCATTAATGTTTTTCCTTATGGTGTTGTAGAAATCAGGAGTGAATCCTCCAATGAGAGCTTCAAGGTGAATGGTCACCGCCTCAAGCATTTTCATGAGAGTCCCTCACTTGTGGACGTCACTATGGAGGAGTGCACACTAGAGGAGCCCACTATTGACCCACCGTGATTAGGGAGTTTCTTCTTCCCTCTTTTACTCTTTTGTCTTACATGTCATATTTGGTTGATTGTGATGATTGTGCTTTCATTGAGGACAATGTTTGATTTAAGTGTGGGGGAGTGGTTTAGGAGTAGGATTTCCTTTTCAAATAAATGGTTTTCTTTTTCATTGAATTGTTGGATTTGTATGAGTTGTTGGACACTTTCTTGCTACTTTGTGGATTGAATATTTCTGAACTCTCTTGTTATGTCAAGTTAGTTTTGATGAGTAAGAGGTTGGATTGATTGTGACACCTACCCTTGGTGAGATTGTGAGCCTTGATTTGGATAGATAATTGTTCTCTCTCTTGTGTTATTTCACTCATGATGCTTGCAATCTAGAACTTGGCTTGACTCTTTTTGACACAAGTTGATCCACATGCATGTATTGAAGTGATTTAGGCAATTGATTTATATTAGCCACTAACCAAATGAGCCTACCTTGAATTCATCCCATTTGATAGCCCCTTTGAGCCTATGTATCCTTTTGCATTGTTTTATAGCTCATTACAAGTCCTTAGCCTGAAAAACCATGATGATTGTCCCTACCTTAGGAAATTTTGGAGCTTTGGAATTGTTTTGGGAATGGGTGCTTAAATAAGTGTGGGGTGTGCCTTTTGTGTTGGTTCTTGGTAAGTTTATGAATTATGAGTGGCTATTCATCATGGTTCATTATAACATGGGTGCATATGGTCTAGTCTTTGGACTTTGCTGTTTATTTCAAAAAAATAAAATATAATATATATATATATATATATATATATATTAAAAAAACGAAAAAAAAACGAAAAGAAAATACAACATCAACAAATAATAAGAAGTTGAAGTTGGATTGGGCATTTTGAGAGGATTGGAATTTGAAATTAGAATGGAAGTTTGGGGTTTGGCTTCATGCTTATTTTGACTTATTCCCCATTGCTCCTCTATTTTATTTGGTTCTTTAGCTACTTATCCATATATTCTGATGGCTTCCTCCTTCCATGGATGATGTAGAGTAT